TTCTTGTATCAGTGTTGCAGATCCGGTGGCGTGCATCTTGATATTGACTCCCCCTTTCTCATTCACCGGGGATGGATTTTCTGGATTTTGGAGTCAAAGACTGTTAATTTGGAAAGAACTCATTTTAGGCTCTTCGGCGTAGTGGACTTGCTATTTCCAGTGTTTGTGGGCACCCGAACTGTTTTTTTCTTAATTATAGAACCAAAAAGAGACTTTGGAACACCAGTAAATTTGGTTCTAATTTGCTCAAACATTTCCCCCCTTTCTGCCAGGGGGTGTCCTTTTTCGTATATCGGGCTGCCTTTGTACCCGAAATACTTGGAGATTTTGATCACCGCTGTCGTAGGTGATGCTTGTACTTGTGTCCACAGTAGTTCGTTGTACCTATGACATATTCACTGTTGTTATCCACAAGTGTTCGTTTGTAGGGGACCGCTGTATCAACTATGACTTCCTAAAAAAAATATTTGTAGAAGACCCATTGCTTCTACATCATGTCCACCCTTTCACCAATCTCGGGTAGGTGTTAATTGTACTTGTGCCCACAGTGGTTCGTTGTGCCTATGAGGTACCCACCGTTGTTATCCACAAGTAGGTTGTATTCATTTGCAGGGATCCGTTGTATCAACTACGACCTTCTGAAGGTATTTGTAGAAGACCCATTATCTCTTCATCATATCCACCCTTTCACCAATCTCGGGTGGTTGTTATACTTGTTTGACCTTGTAGGGATCGTCGCAGGAGATACTTGTACTTGTGCCTACAGTGGTTCGTTGTCCTTATGAAGTACCCACTGTTGTTGTCCACAAGTTACTTGTGTTTGCTGATGAAAGACTGTTGTATCTACTACGATCTTCTAGATGTATTTGTAGAAGAGCAGTTGTCCCTACACCATGTCCACCTTTCACCAATCTCAGGTGGGTTTGTTGATTGTACTTGTTTGTAGAGGCGGATCTTCCACTATCAAATGCCAGTTTTGCCATCTCAATCTACAGGCAAAGTTGCTAGTGTTGGAGAGTGGTTTCGGGTGCATGTAGGAGGGACACCAATGCATCTCATTCTTGCAGGTACGGTGCTCCCGATTTTGTAGAGACTGTTGTAAGAGTCTGATACATTATTTACTTGCATGCATTGAGATCTTGTGTGTTGTTCTTGGAAGTTCAAGTCTTCTGAAACCTTGTTCAATTCATGTTAGAGTTTACTTGAGCTTGAGTTCTATGTTCGGGGTCCCCTGATGTCCAAGTCTTCA